AATCAAAACATATTCATGATTTTGACATCAATTACTGCTTTATTTAATCAGAAACCGAGTCTAAATGTTATTTATGTGTTTTACTTTCATTTTATTAGAAGTAGGCCAACAGCGCCCCCTACGGAATTAAAACTATTTTCAGAACGGGCATTAGGACCCGGGGGAGACTGCCGCTGTTGACGCTGCACGTGCTACTGTTTACTCTATCATACACTGAACACTCGTTCTGTGCGTGCATTCTCAGTTTAAATCTAATCTCTCAGTGAATCTAATCCACCATTCAGGCAAAACTTTGCTTCAAGAATGAGCCAAAGTGTTGACTTGATCTAATCGCTAGCACACCATGAGCACATGTGAGTAAGCGTATTCCTCTTATCGGCAAGACATATCGGCATACATTTTCATATCAGGCAGATGTCGATATTTACATTTAAAGCCATTATACATAATATCGTGCATCCCTAGAAAGAAAACACTAACTTGGTTAAGGTATTTAACTTTATTATTATTTATTATTTAATAATTTGTGAAAAAAAGCAAACTACAGTTTATGGAAATTGGGTTTATTTTACTATACTAAAAATTAATTGGAAAACAAAAAGCTCACAGGAAATAAATCATACATTTAATATAAGAATATAATCAGTAATTAACATTGTTGGTTGTCCCTTGTTTTCGATTACAGCAGTCTTTCTCCAGAGCAGTGCTCAATAAGTTATGCACATTACTTACTTTTATTGATTGACGGATTGATTGTATGACAAAATTTGTCATGTTTCATTGCATTACTACAAATGAAACAATTGAGCACATGCATTAGTTTTACACTCCCTTGGCCAGACATTATTTTTGGCCCCTACTGTATTTGATCAGGGGTATTATAATTGACCAACAATTGAAAATACCAGGTATAATGTAATAATTTTCATCACTTTTTTTAAACTGTTGGCCAGATGGACGTTTTTTTAAGCATCTCCCATATTCATTCATTATAGACCCTGTTACAAAAAGTACAAAAATCTTAATGACCAACTGAAAGAAATGCTCAGAAAAATTGTCTCTCTGCCCTTCCGGCAAATAATTTTCAAAATGTGGCTGGCTTGACCACAGTTGTGTATGAGGGTAGCATGGTATGCCAGTAGTATTGCAATGCTCAAGTCTCAAAACACCAGCAATGCCACAGTATTTTCCAGGGGTAGTACAGTGATTCACAGTAGTATATTCATACATGCAGTACTAAAGATGACAATAGATGTGGATTTATAGATAATATAATGGTGGCAACATAAAGAATTGTTTTGATAGAGCAAAACAATACATTTCTAGTTTCAAAATTATTTGTTCTTCAGGCATTCCTCTTTAAAAGATAAAAAGGTTCAGCTGTATGCAAAGTGACACATTTTAACCCCTGAAAATTTGTATTTACAATTAAAATTTTTATTCATGGAGCCATTCAGAACCCATACCTCTGCTTCTACTATGCAGAGCCTTTAAATTGAAGATCACAAAACAACAGTTTATTTAAGAACCAGGGCCCAGAGGCAAGCGATTTCTTTAAGAGTGTTGCAACAAATGTCTTAAAAAGTGACGTGACATGTGGCCAAGTATGGTGACACATGCTTGGAATTAGTGCTCTGCATTTAACCCATCCAAAGTGCACATACACAGCAGTGAACACACACACCGTGAACACACACCTGGAGCATTTATGTTGCGGTGCCCGGGGAGCAGTTGGGGGTTCGGTGCCTTGCTCAAGGGCACCTCAGTCATGGTATTGAAGGTGGAGAGAGCGCTATACATTACTCCCCCCACCTACAATCCCTGCCAACCTTTGGGTTACGAGTCCGACTCTCTAACCATTAGGCCACGACTTCACCAACACCTTTCAACAGACAATAGTTTATATTAAGCATTTCGCTTATCACTATGCTTTCTAGCAAAACACGGCAACGGAGAAGTGGTTGCTATAGTTATGACATCTTCCACAATAAAAATAAATAATGAACCACATACCGTTTATACAAGTTTAATATTTACTAAATTATACAACAATAATAAAATTAAAGCACATTTCTATTTGAAGTCTTACATGTGGTTGATTTGACATGGAATGACCCAAAATTGAAAGTGATTTTTAATTCACTGAGAAGTCATGTCATGTGTGGATCAGTGATTTGATGATTGATAATTACTTTCACTTCCAAGCACCTGAGTATGCGGGTACTTGTGTGCATCCTTTAATTGCATGTTGTCTTATGTTAAGATTTTCTTGAGACATTAATAGATGAACTGCAGAAGCAGCTTATGGAATATAAGGAACAGCAGAGGAAGATGCAGGCCGACCTGGAGCAGGTGACCAAGAGAGCAACATCACAGGCAATGATATATTTATTCGTTTTGCTTTTTTGACGTAATTATAAAAGTAACATACCACACTAGTTTGTGCATTTAAGTGATTACCACAGGGAAGGGGTGTTTATTAGAATTTAAACTTTGGTTTTAACAAAATGGACAACCATTTGTGTCTTGTTGCATTTATTTATATAGCAGTAAATAACATTATCTCCTTTTTTAATGTCAGTGGTCAAATGGCATTTTAAAAGTTTTTTTTAATTATTTAACTAACCCTGCTGATGATATGATATGTTGTTGTATTGTGAGTACAGTATATGTTTCTGATAACAGGTGAGTGAGACAGGCAGCATGGATGATGTTCAGGTGATGGAGTGGCAAGAAATGATTACCATGGTGACTGAGGCAGAAAGGGTTCGAGATCAGAGTCGTGAGAAGAATGTCATGGCCTTCAGAATGAGCCACATCGAGGAGGAGAGAGAGGGTGAGGATGCTTATGCTATACACCTATTCACAAATGTTTGAAATTAATAGATTCTAACGAAAAGTATCAAAAAAAGCTGTTTGGTAGACAAACCATGACTATCAACTGTGACTTAAATAGAAGTGCATGCCTTTACGGTCGAGTGTTGCAGGGTATACTAGTGCTAGCTATGTTAATATTGTGGTACTTAAACCTTAAATTATCGTCATAAAGGGTTATTTGAGCTGAGCACTGCATTAAAGGTTGTGTGAGTCTTCACTGGCTTCATGATTCGATTTGATTTACAATTCATGGGTTATTGATTCAATTACAATGTGATTCATCAGGATGCGGCATGTCCTTTTTTATCTTTAAATATCTGTTTATACAATGCAATTAAATTTGAAATTTAAGATTAATTCAATTTAAGATTTGAATCAAACAAGTATTTTAATGCAAGTTAATTTAACCACTCACATGCAGCCATGCATAGCTGTATACCTCGGAGTGCTCTTTATAGTGTACACATACAAAGGATACATGAGCATTTGAAAGCAGCCATCTGTTTGCAAGGTTCACAATCAATGCTTGTCCACTTGGTCAGGTTTTAAATGGATGTTTACATAGCAGTGGTGGACAGTAACAAAGTAATTTCACTTTGTTACTGTACTTATGTACATTTTTCAAGTATCTGTACTTCATCTGAGTATTTTTATTTTGAGAAACTTTTACTTTTACTTCACTGCATTCTGAAGCATAATATAAAAACATGTCATTCTGAGATTAGATAGCAGTGTCTGATTTGTGAATGAGCTGATTCTTTTTGGTGAACCTGTTAAATCAGTTCACAAATCACACTGAATGATTCTGGCTGAAACGACGAGACAAGGCTTGGGGAGTAACATCGAATTAGGTTTTGCTGCAGGGGGTGTCAGGGAGACGTCCCTGTTCACTGCCCCGCCACCAGGAGACGTTCTGGGTTAAGGGGCGAAACGTCAATGAGCGGTGGTCCCCAGCTGAAGACCCTGCAGAAAACCACGTGGTATGCGGTCAGGTTTAGGCCTGCCTCAGGGAAGAGGACGCCCCTGCCATGCATAGTCCACCATAGGCACCGTAGGAGGTGCGACAGGCCTAAGGTCCAGCAGAAAGACCACCTCGCTGTAATGAATAATTCATTCTCAAATTGGACTGATTGGATTGCAATTGTTCTGGAGTCAACAAGTCAGTGATTCAAATGATCTGGTCAGACAATACCATGAATTCATAAGTCTGACTCAAAAGGAGCCAAGCCCGGGAGATCTTCAGAGCTTGAGTGCGCTTGTGACTGATGGCATGAAAAGTAAGTCACTAATGCTGAATTTTAGGATTTATTATTCTAAATAAAAACCATATTTAGGTCACAACTGTCAGCTGTTTGTGAACTGTATCTGCTGTAAAAGGGTGAGCTGTTTAAGCCCACTGTTTGAAATGCATGAATACGGACATGTCCACATTTGTGTATCACTGTCTCAACTGTGTATTATTATTATTATTATTTTTTTTTTTTAAGTAAAAACGAGACCGAACATTAAAATAATTAATGCCCGTGCATCTTCCCCTCTGCTGAAGCAGTTTCGAATGAGTTTTAAACTAGTATGTTTGCATTTTTTAAATTTTATGAATTTGCCCCATATGTTTTTACAGTAGTGTATATTGTTTATTATAGTGTATATACAAAATGAACATTCATTGATCAGTACTTTTTACTTTTAAGTATACTACAAATCAAATACTTTTGTACTTTTACTCGAGTAAAATTGAAAAAGAGTACTTGATTTGTGTACTTCGTCCACCACTGGTACATAGAACAACATTTAAAAACATTAAACATAAAATGCAAGAATACATTCTACCTGGACAGCACCTTACTGTGTGTTATAGCACCTCAGTGACCGTGATTTCATATACATATTAGGGTTGGGTGATGTCTACCAAATTGGCATCGGACGATGTCTACAGTGAAACGTTTTGATGGACGATGACATCAGGGGGCGGGGGGTAGATGTGTGCCCGAAGCGTGAAAAAATTACGCGTTATATGGAGCCACTAAAAGGTAAGCCGCTTGCAAGCGGTAGCCTGTTGCATTACAGTACATGAAAGTTCACTTACCACATACACAGAGTAAGGAGAAGTGTCTTGATAGGACGATGGCGAATGATTTGCAGATCCTGAGCACCAATGACAAACGTCTAATCTTGTCAAATGGGTGGCAAGTACTGCCGCTCCATAGTATAGAGTCCTTGTGATCACGAATCT